GGCGGGTCCCAACAGCATGGGGGGGGGGTTGTGACTTTACTGTCACTTTAACTCCTGAGTTTGTCACTTTAAGGAGAACCAGTCATGCTTGCATTCTTGGAAGTTAAAATATTCAGTGCTAATGTACCCCTTTTCTTCGGCAAAACAGGTAAAATAGCATCTGAAATGTAAATTTAAATACTCTGTCCCATGTATTTAGCACCCTGGGATTCCTGATATGCAATCTGTTAAGAATGTGGACGGCTGCTACCTCTATTGAAGTTGCCCATCACTTAAACAGGGAGTTGCAGGACAGGGTAAGCCAGCTCTTCCAAATGTGGAGATAAACGTATTGGGGTGTAACTGGGCACTTTAGATGCAAGACAAGGGCATATGCTAGCTTCTTAGTGTGTCTGTATTACACTCCAGCTGCTATTTAACACTACCGACCAGTTTGAGAGTTATGGGATAGAGCTCCTTTGAAGTCTGACAGTTACTATATTGCCACCTGCTTGACTTCATATACAGTCTCAACTTGCAAGTGTGACTTATAATATCAAATCACAGGCCTCTAGTTGACTATGGTGCTCTGTTATTAGTGTACAGGGCAGTAACTCTGACTTTAAGTGACCTCTAGCCCTATGACTCTGATATTTAAAATCTTTGTGGACAGTCATGGCCACTACAGCACTGGAGTCAACTAATGTGCATTATAGCTTCTGTGGTTCCTGAACAACCTCAAACATCCCTCCAGACAAGCACAACTAGCACATCTCCCTGCTGAACTTCTGCCCGCCTGCAGGTAGAATGATGGCTCACATGTCTACCCTGGCAGAAGTACATTTACAGAGCTGGCTGGGAATGCTACATGAGCATCTGATGATGGGTTGTTGGGAAAATGGGTAAATGTGTTGAAAGCCTCATACCAGAAGGGAAGGGGAGAGAAGACCGCATGTCCATTTCCACTTTTACCTCCTCAGTTCACTTCTGTTGGTGGCTGTGGCTCCATGCAAAACCTTGCTCTGACACTGATGGAACTGAAGTGGAGAGTGGGACATGCTTGAATATAAATGTAGGGAAAGTTTTGGTTTCATTTTGCCATGGCTGCTCCGGAGATGGTCTTTCTGGAGCTGTCAAGGCTGCATGATGACTACATTCATTAGTTGTTTGCAAGCATGTCCCGCTGTCGTGTGCAGTGCCATGGTGAGCCTAAAGAGTGTAGGATCTGAAACTCCTGCACGTGTTGGATTCCTATCAAAGAAAATTATAAAAAGCTTAGTTTTTAACAGGCTCTCTTCAAAGTAAGTGAGGCCAAGCTATAAGTGGGGCAGTTACCAATCTTTTATAATGAAACCTATGCAGCTCTAATTGTCTGTCTAAAACTTAAGTATCACCAAAGGCTAGGTGTTTTTTCCCATTCGTCTTCCAGAACAGCTTGCGAGATAGGCTCCACCACTTTTAGTAGGAAACACGTCACCCCTAGTTGTTTTAAAACGTCCGCCTCTCCCTTAACTCCTCAGTTTTTTGTTTCCCCCGTG